TATTTCATTGTAGGTAGATGATACAAGGAAATACATAGTCTCTATCATGAAGGACAATTTAATTGACAGATGGAAGTTGAGTACAGAAATCATGTATTAGTTGATATAAATTAGTAAATGTAAGATTTACTACTTAAAAATAAAAGTTAAACTGGACAGTTTAATAAAAGTTGGTTTGTTACTAGAAAGGTCATAGAAGTGAGGACAAGCAAACATTTATAGAGGAAGTGAGACTAGTGGTAGAAAGTAGGCTCTTAGGCAAACATGGGATTTGCTTGGGCAGAATGAGGAAGGGCTGTACTTTAAAATTGAAGATAAAGCTCATCAGAAGACTGTAAGATGTGAGCAATCAGATTTAAAGGGACTAACAGGGCTTCAGAGTTGGGACTCATAGGGACACTGTGAGTCTGAATGGGCTCAACGGCAATGGGTTATTCCTCCACGAATGGAACTAAAGAGCCTGGTGCACAGCTGCTAGAAATAGGTGATTTTGCCTTCTGGAGAATTTTTCTGCCTCAATGGAGACTTCAGAGCATTTCTTTCTCAGTTATATTCATATGCATTGGGCTTCCCGCCCTAGTCTGCTAGAGGCATGAGTGACCATCTGGTGATCTTGTAGTGGAGGCATTTGCCTACCCACTGGTGAGGTGGAAGAGAGATCATGAAAGAACAGACTGGTCACACCAGTGCTAGCATTGGACAAGCTGCTCATTCAGTAATGTAGTAAACATGGCTGTAGTGATGCGAAATGCAGGAAAATGTCAAATGTCACAGAGTATAATTTACGTGGAAGTGACTTATCATCATCATTTTTCTACCTACTCAATAATAGATATTTTAGATGAATATTTTGAAAAGAACTGTGTGTTCGGTTAAGTAGCTTCAATTCATATTTGAGTTATTACTGGTTTAGCAAATAATATTTTTCAAAAGAAAATCCAAATCATTTTTCATTGTAATCAGATTAAAATCTGGACAGCAGTAATTTGAAAGTTTTGTTTTTTCTTTTTGACTAAGTGGGCTGTTCAGTTTGTTTTAAGTAGCTTTCAGTGGACAGGCATACCTCAGAGATATTGTGGGTTTGGTTTTGGCCCACCACAACAACAAAGCAAATGTGCAATAAAACACAACACACAAAGTTTTTGTGTACCAGTACATGTAAAAGTTATGTTTACATTGTACTGTAGTCTATAAGTGTGCAATAGCATTCTGGAAAAGTTTTAAATGTGAGAATTCCCAAAATGTGACACAGGAATGTGAAATGAGCACATGCTGTTAGAAAAATGGTGCTGAAAGACTTGCCTGAGGCAGGGTTGCCACAAGCCTTCAATTTATTTTTTTTAAAAAAGAATGCAATATCTATGAAGTGCAATATAATGAAGTATACCTGTACCTTAGAAATGATAAAGTTCTTTTTTTAATTGCTGTAGTCTGGTCCTACAGGAAATTATCAGTTCAGCAGACATCAAACTTCAACACTAGTCTTTGAAGCAGTCATTAAACAAAGAAGAAAAACCCAAACCTGTTGCTGTCAAGTTTATTCCGACTCATAGCACCCCTGTTAGAATAGAGCAGCTCCATAGAGTTTTCTTGGTTATGACCTTTACGGAAGCAGATCACCAGACCTTATGTAGCACCAATGGGTGGGTTCGAACTGCCAACCTTTTGGTTAGTAGCTGATTGCAAATCATTTGTACTACCAAGAGACCTCTTGAAGCAGTTATTAGGAACTTCTAAAAATCACACAGAGAAGACATGTAAGAGATTATAGATCCAAGGTAGCAAAGAGGTATGAAATGAAACATAAAGACTGATGTAGCTGTCTTTGGTTCCATGGGCTTCAAACTGTTTTATCTGGAGAGCACATTGTCCAAACAGTATATTGTTGTTGTTGTTGTTGTTATGTGCCGTCGAGTCGGCCCCGACTCATAGCGAAACAGTATATTGGTGGTGGTTAAAAAGTAGAGCACTAGTTGATAGAAGTCACCCTTAAAGTGGTATTTTACTCTTTTGAACTACTTGTGTGAGGGGCTAGATAATAAATATTTTAGGGTTAGGGCCATACAGTTTCTGTTTCAAGTATTGGATTCTGTCGCTGTAGCTCAAAAGCAGCCATAGACAATACGTAAATGAATAAGCATGACTGTGTTCTACTTTATTTATGGAAACAGGGAGCAGACCAGATTTGACCATGGGCTTTAGTTTGCCAGTTCCTGTTCTAGAGAACTTAATGTCTATACAGCAATTTTAAAAGCAGGAAATATTAGGATTCTAGGTATCTTTTGGTATTTTATCTTCCCTTTTGAATAGTAAGCTCTTTAAAAACAAGGACTGTATCTTTTACTTCTTTCTCTCCTACATATCTTTTATTTAGCACAAACTTATACCAGGTAAACTAATAAATACATCTGCTGTCCCTCTGTTTCTGTTCTCTGTGGTTTGGAAGCTCTGATAGCATAGTGCCTAAGGCACTTGACTGCTAACCTGAAGGCTGACTATTCAAACCCACCAGCCACTCCTTGGAAGGAAGGTTAAGCAATCTACTTCCATAGTGATACTGCCTCGGAAACCCAAGGAGGGGTCACTATGAGTCAGTCCAACTGGATGGCAAATAACAACAACAACAACAACATGGTTTAGAATGCCCCTGTGATTGCATACTTCGTGTTTTAGAATGTCTGCTGACATAGGTTTCTCTGGCTCTCACAACCGCAGAAGAAACAATTCAGGACAGATGTTTTGACCCATTTTACCAATCATATGCCTGAGGCTCAGAAAGGTTAAAAGTTCATATTGCCTAGTAAATGGCAGAGGCAAGATCTAGAGCTTTTTCCTGTTGTGACAGTGACCTGTGACCGTTAACTTTCTAAAAATAAAAGAAGCTTGTCCTTTAGTCTCTTTCTGCTGACATCTTGTACTAGTCCTGTTTTATTTCTTAGAATCTTAGCTAAGTTTTCTATTGGGTTTCAAATACTTCAGTATTCCTGCTATTTAGGTATAGAAAAGAGCCATTTCTGTTCTCAGGAGAGAGGTCTGAGCTGTGCAGAATTGGAAATAGGTTATTTTTTAAGCTCATAGATAGGATTGTCTCGTTCTTTCAGTTTCTTAGAGGAGAACCTGGTCTCTCATGGTCTCTGTACAAGCCCTCAGAATATTAGTCTGGCCATACTGGGTTTACACATTTATTCTTGCATGCTGTATTCTCCCTGCTGAGAATACTTTCCTCTTACTACAGAAGTGAATTTTATCTTTCCAAACCCTGCCAATAGTTATATAGGTGTTTATGCACAAGAAAAAAATTCATCAAGATGTATAATTTTGATTTCTAAATTTTACAGTTAGATGTCAATTTAAAAACTAGGGGGAAGAAACAAAGCTTAAGCCCTCCCTGCTTCTTCTCCAAAAACTTCCTCCCCCTCTCCTCCCTATTATTTTAATTGCTTAAATGTAACTTTGTAAAATAGTAGCCAATACATATACTAAATGGCATGGTGATGCCAGGCAAGACTATTGGGCCTGAGTCTCACTATGTCGCTTAACTTCTCTGTGCTTCAGTTTCCTCATCTATAAGATAGAGAGAGGTACTGCTAAAATGGCAAGGAGGCCACATGTTCTGAGGGACCTCCTCTAACCCTACAAGAGAAAGACAGGATTACCAGCAGTAACCCAAGGCTTATTCCTACAAGGCCAGACATGCTGCCTCCCTCCAGCCCTTTCTCCAATCATTCCTCCCAAAGCACCCACCACCTCTCTCCTGGGTTCGATAATTCGCTGCAATGACCACACAGAGCTCACAGATTATGGGGTTTATTAGGGAAGCACCACAGGCTACAACTCAGGTTCAGGAAAAATGCTGTCTCTCTCCCAGCCTACCATCCCTCAGCCAGCAGTCTCTCACAGTCTCTTTCCCAGCAGAGCTGGTCCCTTGGTGTCTCACTCAGCAATGCGTGTCTCTCGTGTCTCTTTCCCAGCAACGCGTGTCTCAGGAGCCCGTGTCTCTTTCAGCAGCACATCTTCCTCCGCCAGCAGTCAGAGAGAGTTCTGCCTCCAGGAGGCCTCCTTTTGAGCTTGGCAGAGTGGCCAAACTAGCCAATCATAGCATCAGAACTCTAAGCACCTGAGAGAAAGTGGG